GAAGCAGCCGCTCTAGCTCGTGTTATTCGACCAGTTGGTGCCTCATAAGCAGTAAGTACTGAATTTTCCTTCCTCATTGCTACTAAAGCTTAAAGAAGAACAGAATCACGCTTCAATCGATGGGATCTTCATACAACCTGCTCATGGGAGGCAAGTTATTTACCTCACGTTAAATATAAAAAAGAACAACAACAGGAGGTAGTAATTCCTACAAGATGCAGCAGGGGAAAAAAAAGAAGAAAATTGAAATTACGAGTTTTTAAACATAATAATTGACTTACAGTTTCACAAAGCACTGAAAAACCAAAAACATACAACTCGTATAAAATCAGAAGACCCATGTCATAAAACTTAAACCCTTTCCTACCCTGATTTCATCTAGAATATAAGATTTCACTAAATGAATATAGTCAAAAAAAAGGTGACTCTCCATATCACTTTGTGAGGTTCCAAAGAGTTGTGGGGGATTGTTCAATATGGGACATCAGTTGTGTGCCCAGAAAGATAGAAATCTATGAGGTTTATTGGACTTATGGGTTCCATTGAGATCTTTTGACTTGATGCCAGTTGCTTGGCTAAGACATACATCACTCATCTATGGAGTACCAATTCTACAAACAAACGCATGGTAAATATTGAATCAATCGTTTCATGAAGTCTTCTGAGCGTAAAAGCCACTTGAAAACTAACCATCTACATGTCTGGATTGAATTATTCCATTCTTATGTGAGAACTTGAATGCTAACATAACAAACCTGCATTTTTCTCACACAAGCATGTCCCCATATCAATTAGTTCTAAACTCCGAAGTAATATGTCCTAATCACTCATGATGATAGTGAAGTGAAGATCATTAGGTTTATATGGAGAAATAGTACGCCTAAATAATATGAGATAAATATTATCTTCCTTTCTTAAATTGTTAATATTTTCCAACAAAATTAATTTTCTTTTATCCCGTCAGGAGTAAGCAACGAACAAACCCCTAAACTAAGAATGCTTCCCTATTGATTAGTGCTAAATTCTTGGCCAAGGAAGTTCTTCAAATTGCAGTATAGGTATGTTTTAAGTCAATTATTGGACAAAGATAATTATGGGATTTACATTCATAATGCTCTTACGAAAATCCCAGAAAATGAAGATTTTCTTAATCTCTCCACAATACAACGCATTTTTTGAGTCAAATTTCAAAGTTCAGTCATTTTCCCATTACTGTAATTTCAAAGTTCAGTCATTTTCCCATTACTGTAATTTCAAAGTTCAGTCATTTTCCCATTACTGTAATTTCAAAGTTCAGTCATTTTCCCATTACTGTAATTTCAAAGTTCAGTCATTTTCCCATTACTGTAATTTCAAAGTTCAGTCATTTTCCCATTACTGTAATTTCAAAGTTCAGTCATTTTCCATTACTCTAAAGAATAAAATTGATCAATGAGGCAAACCAAAGTCTCACATAATAACCATAAAAATCAAAATAAATTTTTGAAAAATGAAATATTTCAAAATTCGAAAGAAAATGAAAAATCACAGACCAAATCCAAGAAGCGCCTCAAAATAAATAAATTTTCTTCAAAACTAGAGAAAATAAATGAAATCTCTGATCAAACAGATCGTAAACACGTGCACAATAAAGTAGAGGGTAATTAGGAAAAGTCCAACGACTATATACTAAAAAAAGCACACATTTACTCTACATAACGGATTATTACCCAAAAAGGAGAGGGGGGAAAGGGAAAGAAACCTAATACTCAAAACCCTAAAGAAAATTTTTCTACTCCCTAAAACCCAAAACTATTACGTCGCTAAAAATACTTATCTCCAAAAGAATAAATAAAAAAATCCGGCCTTTCTCGAAGAGATCATTAACTGATTTTTTTTTCTCTTCACAAAACCATTTAAACCTAAAAGACCAGAATTTGCAGAAATTTACCCAAGAACCAACTCAAACAACTTCAAAACAAAACAAGAAAACGAAGAAACTGTCACAATGCGAGGATCCGAAACCCATTAAGAGCAAGATCCGGTAAAGGACTGACCTGACGCCGTCACTGCTACCGGAGCTCCGAATTCTTCCGACGACCCGAAATCGCCAAAGAAACCCGAACTTTGAGCGCATGCGACGACGGGAGCAGTTAGGGTTAGGGTTAGGGTTAGAATCAATTTCCGTCCTCAAGCGCAGAGAGTTCAGAGAGAGACAGAGAGAGAGAGTAGAGAGGAGTGAGAGAGTTCAGAGAGAGAGATTGAACCAGAACTGACGCGCCCTTTCAAAAGGAAAAGATAACGGCGAAGGGGAGCGTCACTAACGCCGTCAGCGTGAGCGGGATGGCCCAAATAGTTCAAATCTCATTCCCTTTTTTGGTTTTTTTAAGACTAAAGAAACAAATTAAAAGACCCTACAGGGAGTGATTGACTAATTAATTATTTGATATTTTACATTTAGGTCCCCACTTACCCTAGTTACTGCAAATACCCTGGGTGAGATGGCTTATAGATTTGTGGAATTTCTGTTTTCTCAAAGGGGTTATCGGTAGGTGTAATTTTGGGATTTTACTTTATGGTGTTATTCATTTGTACAATAAGATTGGGACAATTAACCTCAGTTTTCTCAAAATTACCACACTTATATACTAATTTTTTGTCCTAACCTCCAAAAATTATCCTATTCTTAACTTTGGGATAATCATGAGGAAAATTGGATAATTTTGAAGCACTAATTTACTAAATATAAAATATATATTAATTGTGTTATAATATATAATATATTTTAATTATATTATATTGTAAACTTCTATTATAACGTAAGATAATAAAATATTATATAATATTATCTAATAACATCATTAGATATCATTATTACTTATTGATTAATGATATTTTATACATTATAATATTATTTTATATTATTTAGTATGTACTTTATTAGTTAGAATAAAAATTTATTGTAGTATTTTTATGATATAAAATATTATATTATAATATAGTGTTTATATATTTAATATAATAATATATTAATTATATTATAATATAATTTATTATATAATAATTTATTATTTTCTATTATACTTTATATATTAATTAATAGTCATAAATATTTTGTCAATATTTTGGTATTTATAATATTAAATAATATTTTATTACGATAATAAAAATTATAATAATTATTATATATTAAAGTACGATAATATATAATATCAATATAATATATTATAATTATTTAATATAGTTTTAATTAATAATATTAAACATATTAATAGTATATTACGATTATTATAAATATTATATTTTAATAAGAAGTCATGTCATTAGTTATTCTATTTAAATTATGAATTATTATAAAATAAAATAAAATATTAAATTTTAATAATAATATAATATTTTAAATATATATTGAATTAAACAAAATATTATAATATTTGATTAAATATTATATTATTGAAATATTGTATTAAATATATTGTTTGTATATTATATCATGTTTGTATATTATATCAATTATTATATATTATATTATATTATATTAATTAATAACATTAAATATAGTTATTAATAATTAGTAATTATAATATATTTAATTATAGGTTAGTATAAAGTAAAATAATGTATTATATTATAATAATTTATCAAATAATATATTAAACAAATTAGGTAAATTAATTTAGACTTAATTGATAGATAAATATTGTACGTTAATAATGTGTCACATCATCAATTATTACACATGAATAGTCAAATCAAAGCTTTAAATTGTCTCATCATTCTAAATTGACCCGCTTTACATCATTCAAAATATCCCAAAGGGATAAAATTATTCTGTTAGAATAATTATCTCACTTAGCCCCAACTAATACCCCCCTAGGGCTGTCCATCCGGGCCGGCCCGGCCCGGCCCGGCCCGGAAAACCGGGCCCGGGCCGGGCAAAACCCAAGCCCGGACCCGGGCCCGGGTGGTCCGGGCCGGGCCCGGGCCCGGGCCCGGGCCGGGCCCGGGCCCGGGCCCGGGCCCGACCGGGCCGGACACCGGGCCGGCCCGGATTTTTTTGTTTTTTTATTTTTTTATTTTTTTAAAAATTTTAAAAAACAATAAAACATAAAAATTATATTTATATAATAGTATATATATATTTATACTCTTATATAAATATAATTATATTATATGTACATATAAGTTTATGTTTATATATATGTATAGATATATAAATATATATTTATACTCTTATATGTATTTATACTATTATATAAATATACTTATATATGTACATATAAGTTTATGTTTATATATGTGTATATATAAGTATACTTATATACTAAGAGAGAGAGAATATAAATATATATATAAGAGAGAGTATACACTGTACACATATATAAGAGAGAGCATACTTATACATATATATAATTATATAAGAGATATAAACATATATAAGAGAGAATATACTTATATTTATATATACTTATATACTAAGTAGCCCAAAGTATTCATGTCATTCAATATATGTATATGTATATATATACACACACACTGACACACATATACATATATTATACATAAACAAATTGTAAATACTTATAGTAATTACATAAACAAATTGTATTATACATAAAAACACACACACATATAAACTTATATATACACACATATATTATACATATATAAGAGAGAGTATACTTATATATACTTATACATATATTATACATATATAAGAGAGAGTATACTTATACATTATACTTATATATATATATATATATATATATATAATATATATATTATTATATATATACTATATATATATATATATATATATAATATATATATATTAGTATATATATATATATATACTATATATATATAATATATATACTTATAATAATTATATATATATAAAATTATATAAGAGATATTATAAATTAAATAAGAAGCAGTCGTATACTGATATAGTACTTATATATAGAGAGAGTATACACTGTAATTACTATATATATATATGTGT